TATATATATATATACATATGGCTTGGGTGAAACAGAGGTGCTTAATAAGATTACAGAATTAAAGCTTTAGGTGTTCTCTCCGTGAGCCGTAATTTGACAGTTTTCTCTTGTCAAAAGTTAGTTACAAATAACGTTTGACACAAAAATAAGGTCATAGTTTATTACTTTCACATGCTCATTATCTGTAATTAAAAGCAGCGTCCCTTTTCCTTGCTCTGACCTCTCTAACAAAATCACACATGCAACGTCTGTCTAATCTGTAATACAATCTCCATGTCCTCTCTTCGTTTGTCAGGTTCAGTCAGGTAAGGACAGCGTCTCTCGTAGAAAAGCTCCAGGAGTCCCCATTAACAAGGAACCCGTTAGGAAATATGGTATGTGAGAATCAGCGGGTTCATTAGGTCTTTTTGGCTGAAAACTGATGTTTTAGAAAGGGACAAAAAATGTGTTGTTTTGTTTTTATAGACCCAGTGGGGACGACTCCGCTGCCCCCTGCTGGAGAAGTGGTGAAGTACTCAACTTCAGATCACATCGTCCCCAGTCATGACATCCAAGGTGACTGCTCTTAAAAAGCTGAGAGGTTTGGCAAAACAAATGTATGCAAAACTACTGAACGATTAATCCACGTCCTGCTGTTGTAGTTTTGACATGACAACAACAAATAAATAATGGAATTTATTGTTCTGGTAATATTAAAACTGATATAATTGCTGTTATTTTAAAGAAATCATCAAGAGGTACAACTCTCCGTCACCACCTGCAGACCAGCTACCATCTGGCAAGAAGTGTGTTTGTAGACATTAAAATCACAGATAAATCCTGAAAGCATTGGTGTGAAACAGAAATAATAGTGGATGAATTTTTTTAGGCGACCGGAGGGGAAGTTCAAGAAGAAGACAACACCTCGTGATGAAGCTTTACAGATTCTCAGACCGCAGATGGACAACCCTCCCTCTCCACAGGTAAACGCACTAACAAGAACTACTCAGTCACTTACTTATGCGTGCTGTACACACGGCAACGTAGAAAGCACAAATTCAAGAAATTTTATTTTATTTTTGCATCTCCAGCCCAAACGACTCGTGGCCCCCTCGCCGTCTGCATCTGCCATGAAAGAGGTGGGCTTTAAACCCACAAAGAGCACAAAAACTAAATCACCTGTTCGCCCTCTGCCCAGACATCCTCCAGGTACTTAGAGCTGAAGAAATACACACTCATCCACATTTTACAGATAAACACATGGAGCCCATCTGGTCACAGTGGCTAAAATAAACAAAACGCGTGCATACAAGATAATTATTTACACGCAGAGACTGTTGATTGTTAACATGAAAAAGTTTTAATTTATTTTATTTTAGTTCAATATAGGAATGAATTACAATGACACTTCTCAGGCATGGCGTAATTCTTAGCAAAAGACACTTAATTCAGCTGCTCAATATTACCTTGTGGACACGCATTATTGTCTTTTGCGTAATCAAATTGTGTAGATAGGTGGGAAAAGTAAATGTGCAAAAAGCTTGCTTTAGTTCAAAAAGCAGTTTTTAGTATTTTAACAAAGAAATGAAGGCCGAGTATTCCTTCACCCACCTGAGATCAAACTGACATCAGATTTTGTTGAGAACTGATGGTGTTGTGGTTATTTTGGTCAAACAATAAAAATAACAGATCTCCTGTGAAATCACAAGATGTCATGCTCACAGTTTGTGTTGTGAATGATGCTCAGCTGCTGCTAGAACACATTCTAGCACCATATCTGTTAAAGTTGTTGAATTAAAGTAATTTTTAAAGTGTTTTTCTAAGGTTTGTTGATTGACTCTAAAAGTCAATCAGTGGTAAATCCAGTTTTTATTTCCTGAAATTTTCAAAATCATCCGTTCAGCAGTTTATGAGGTATGATATTTTGGTAACAGACATGTGTGGGTGCATGTCAAGTGTTCTTATTTCTTGCCCTGAACCTTGGGAATTGAGTCCTCCAGGTTTTTTTTTTTTTTTTTTTTTTTTTTTTTTTTCGACACCAAATTCTTAGTTTTCTTGTCGTAATAGTGCGAACTGCAGTCGTGTTGTGCTCTGATGGTTTTACTCCAGGATTTTCTTCACAGTTAGCTTCAGAAACTGGATATTTAGGACCACCATGGAGAGGAAGCCTGAGTTTTGTTTGTGTTTTGTTGCCCATGTGTGTCTCAGTCAGAGTTCTCCAGTGGCCCAAATCAATAAATTTACGTTTCCCGTCATTGACCTGCTGATTTTATGATGTAGGTTTTGGTTTTTGTTTTGGTTTTTGTACGTGAGCACATTGATAAGTGACACACTATTAAAAGAGGTCACTTGGGTAGCTCTAAAAAGGGTTTTTTAATGCTGAATATAAAATACTCAGTTCATAACAGAACCCTTCTAGATGATCTCAAAACTAAAAGTGACCAAATTAATTGTAACCACATCTGTTAAAAACATTTAAATTCAAACTTAATTTCCCTACTGGTCTATTTTTATGAATAAACATGATAATCCCTCTTTTAGAGGATGTTTTTATCTCTATAATCTTGTTTACCAGCTCTCCTGATGCTTTGACCTTATCTTAGAGACGCCAGTTATCTAATATTGATCTCCTGCATATTTTGTTTGCTATCTGGTAAGACTCGGTTCATCTCCAGTTTGACATTTTGTATTAAAAAAGATTATTTAATTAGTCAAATGTGGCACATTCAAACGAGATCAGGAAGGGAGGAAAACAGGGACAGGCAGAAACGCCACGTTCTGTCTCCGAGACATACGCTTCTAGCGTTTTGACTTCAGGTTTGCTTGTAACAAATTATAAAGTGGTGTGAATAAAAAAAGACCAGCAGGGTAACCAGGCAACTAAGGAATCGGCGTTGTTCTCCATCAAGTGTTGCCGAATAAAAACTGCAAACATGATGACTCACAGGGCTCAGTAACACGGCTGGCCTCGTTTGACCTTGTTTCTAATTCACTGAAGATAACCAAAAGGTGTTTGTTGCAGTTCCTCGTGAGCTTCCAGTGGAAACTGAGACCATCCAGACTCAGCTTCATCAAAGCAGCAACGAGGAGCACTACACCTACACCAACGTTCCCTGGAAGCTGTACCTCAGAAAGGAGGTGAGCACACAGACACAGATCATTACAGATGTCATCAACATAGGCTTTGACTGACCTGTACTTATAACAAAAGAGAACATATTATTTCAGATAATAGCTCAATATTTTTTGTTGTTTAGGTGTTTTATCCTAAAGATAGCTTCAACAATCCTCTGGTGCTGGATCTCATTTTCAAACAGGTAGTTCTCAGTCATTCATCTTTGTTTTTTTTCCCCCCATTCCTCTCTCTTCTGTGCTCGATGAGCTTTACTGATAACAGAAAAGATCAAAGACAAATTCAACTAAAATCTTTCCAACGCTTCCTCCCCTTCTCTCCTAGATAGTGAATGACACTCTGTCGGAGGCGTGTGTTCGCCTCACCCGAGATGAAAGGCAGAAAATGAAGGCCCTCTTTGGTAGTCTGTCTGTTTTTCCTGTACTTGTTTTTTTTTTACCCCTCTTCTGACTGTATGCTTTGTTAAACGTGTCTCTGTGATATTTGTTTTYCTGCGCCGGTGAACGGCAGCTAAGCACGGTGTTGAGCAGAACATGGATCCAGTGGAGGAGCACGTAAAGAAAACCATTGTGACAGCAGCGAGAGAAACCTGGGAAATATACTTCTCCAGACTCTTCCCGGCCTCGGTGAGAGTGTGTGTGTGTGTGTGTGTGTGTGTGTGTGTGTGTGTG